CTAAAAGCATTTATCATCTGTACCTTCATGTCAACATATTAAAAGGACCTGACATTAACCATCTAATTAAGGTCATTTTTCTATTATGCTGGAGGATTTCATGGAGTGGTGAAAATGAATTCAAGTCAAAGATAGCCATGACTGTCCACACAAAAAGCTTGATGGTTCAATCAATTTCCAAAACAGTTCCAAATAGTTAATGAGAAGACACATGATTAGATTCTCTGGAGAGACAGAAGTAGGACAGAGCCAGACCCCACCAGCCCAATTCCAAAGCCCTTAGCATGCTTCAGTCATTCACTTATGCTGCCTCTCCTGAAGTCATTCTTCCCAGTCACTTCTCTCCCACAGGATGACACCACAAGACAGGGAAGAAGGAAGCAGGCTAAAGGGCCAAGCAGACAAACAAATAGGGAGTTCCCACTGTAAAGCTTCAACACAACTCTGAAGGACTGTGGAGCAGGTCAGCACCTACAATACTGGGGCTCATTACCACAAGCAGAGAAGAAAAAACGTGGGAGGAAAGAATCCAAAGACTGAAATCAGGTGGGTTTTAATTTTTTTTTTTCAGTCCAAAGGTTGTCTTTTTAATAAGCGTTTCACAGCTCACTTAAACTTCAAGTTGTTTCTCATCGTACTTCTCAGACTTATGTATTTCTAGACATAAGTATGCATACTATATATACACACACTTTTTGGCAACAAGCCAGCTAGCCTCTCCCTAGGTTGTCAAAAAGAATTCTTGTTGTGGATTTTGTACAAAAAGCATTACCACCACTAACCAAGGAACTCTGCATTATTATTATTATTATTTGAATCAATTTCATTTCCCTGAATTTCCAAGCACTGTTCATAATCTCTAGAATTTTACTTAGTGCTTTCCAGTCTTTGCTACCATACAGCCAATTTGTGAAGTTATGAATACAAACTTAAGAGCAAGCAGGTAAAGACCACAAAGCAGGCAATCTCAGTCATCACATGGGATGATGACTCAAGTGAACGCAGCAACAGCAGCAGTTTTGTGACTATTCATTAGGGAATGACAGCACAAATTAATTGCTTTGTACTTACAGAAGAACAAACTTTTAAAGCAAAATAGGAAGTATTAGTTAGCTTCTTGCTATAAAGCAGGCTTTGCAGCAAATGAACTTCACTAAGACTATGACCACAGATGTCAAGATTGTAAGTTAATGCTACCACACTGGACATTAAGGAAACAGAAGACCAGGAAACCAATCAATCAATGCCAAATAAAATAGCTAATAACAGGAAGATAACAGAATATTGTCAAATTCAGACACTGGAAACAGAACAAGTGAAAAAAATACACGCTGGCAAAATAATATCAGTGAACAGATTAAAAGGAAGATGATATGAAATGTATGGGCTACAGCAGTATTTGAAAAACCTATCTCCAAGGCAAAAACATTTTGCTATTAATGAAAACCAGAACAACTTGATTTTATAGTGTATGTATCTCAATGCTGGAAAATGAAGAAAATCTGATAAAAATAGAGATGGGCTAGCTGAAAGGAACATTAAGGGATTCAGAAATGCAAAACAGATAAAAACATCATGACAATACAGAACTGCTTCACTGTTACTGAACAATAGAAGTTAAAAACTACCAAAAGCATCAAATTCCACACTCAGCCTCAGACTGTGCACAGCTTCTAATTGTATTCATCAGCTGCGTTTCTTTCTATTGTCCTGCACTCTCTTTTCCAGAACGTGGTCATTCCCCTTTCAACTTTCTTCAGGAACTCTATACCTCATCTGTAGATGATCCAATTTACCAAAAAAAGAAAATCTAATTTTTCTACCAACTCTAGGTTGATAACACTCATCTTTTTCCTCATGCATTACATGTTTTTCAGACCAAACTAGGATCTCAATAGACCTAACACCTCCACATGGGTGTTTAGACATCAGCTTAAGTTCAGCATCAACCAAGCAACTCACCATCCCAAACTCTTTTTTCCATTTCTAGAAAGTAATATTTTCTGCCATCATACCTTTAACCACAGTATTACTTTTCTTTGAGGCAGACACAAGGGAATTAGAAGTTACATGATTTAAAGCCTGAAAATGTTACCTGTGTAGCATTTGCAAGATTCATCCTCTTCCCTCTGCACAGAACCGATGCTCCTGCCCTTATGACTGCATTCTGACCATTGCTCCATCTCCAGCCTTGGCGTGTTCCACCTCAATTCATCAATTTCCTTTTGAAATAAAACACTGCAGATCACTTTAGTAGGATATTCCAAAGACATGACTATTTCTTTTTATCCATTTATCTTCCCCCTCCACTTCCCTAGAAAAGAAACTCCTTGTCTTCACCTTCAAGGCCTTTTTTATCTATTTCTGTCTTCATGTTAAATCAAAATATTCACCTTCATTTCACATATCACTCAGATTTTCCAAAATTCTGTTGCAATCTCACTCAAAATGCCTGTTATGCATAGAAAAGCACAGATTTTATTTAAAATTCCTCTTGAAGTTTTTGTTGACAAGTAGTTTGCTATGACAATTATTTTACAATTCTAACCAGGCATGTGCTATTATTTTTTTTCCTGTTTTGTTTACATGATGCCTAAATTTTTTGAATGGCCTCGAGAGAGACTTCACCTACCTACATTCTACTGTTATACAAATAATATATATAATGGAAAAATATTAAATCTGATACACATAGAAATGGTTCTAAATCAATGACCACAACAAAGCTGAATTACATATATTTACACACATGCATACATACAATGATCAAGTTGCACCTAAATCGTTACATACAGCAACATTTATGTTTTTCTCCTTTAGACAATTCATTACTACATACAATGAAATTCACATAAAACGAGAGAAAGGCATTTAGAGGTGTGCTTTAATTACTACTCTAGCTGTATCTTCAGCAGCACTATTGCAGCATTTTCCAGTACATGACACCACGTAACAAAGCATCCCCTCAAGATAGCTGGAACACGAGTTGGTGTCTATGTGCAGGGCAAGTGTTGCCAGGACAGTAACAGGAAAGCTAGAGATAGAGGAACAGTGGATGGGGAGGATGCCACCAATATGTACTTCACAAGAATACAGAATCAAAAGTCATTCTTCTCTCTCAAAAAATACACACATTTAATGTTGGTCTTTTAATTCTAAGAAAAAAAAAAAAAGCAATTCCAAAAATACAAACTGAACATCAGAGTCAAGTCAACCACCATAATAAAATGAAACAACATTCACAATAGTTAAGTCTATGGACAGCTTACGTTTGACAAATTTTCTCTCCCCACCCCCCTTGTCCCCCACCCCAAGTCCCCAGGTACATTCCAATATTTATCTTTAAATGAAAGTTTATGAAAAATACTGCTGGTGTTCAGTTAGAATTAAAGGACTTGGATAAAGTGAAACAATACACATACAGATGGTGTGAGTAAGGTTACAAAGGCTTTACATTTTGCATTATCCCAAGATATAAACATTCAAAAATTAACGTGAAGTTGCTGTGTTATCAAAATATTGCAGCTATAAGCAAGGCAACATTAAATTAATAGCCGAGGGTGTGAGAAAAAACCCACACATTTTAGTGAAGGTAAACAGAAGTGGCAGTTTTTAATTAGCATTTTTATAAAGCTAATATTACCCAGCCAGTCATAAGCCAAGCACAGGATAAAGACCTCTCTCTGCTTCCTTTGGCTATAAGGTGACAAGAAAAAAAAAATTAAAATAGAAATAGTAATAAAAAATATCACCATTTCAAGATGTTCAAGATGAGCAGAAAAAGTCAAATAATCAAGTAATGGCATAAATAAGTACTATCCCAGACAGTACGCTTTAAACCACTCTGTCATTTCTAAGTGTTACATAATTTTATTTTGGTGGTAAACTGTAAGCATTTAAGAAAACTAACCTTAAGCAGTACAGTAAGTAACCACCAAAGTAAAAATACTCTTCTGTTTACTCTTTGGCTAAAACCCCCTCAAAAGTAGCAGACAAAGAAAAAACATCTAATACTGGCAAGAGACTTTTCTGATTTTTTTTTTTTTTCCCCTCAACAAGTAAAATAAACTTACCAATTTAAAACTTGGTACATTTTATAAAAACAAAAGAGGTAATGTTGTAATAAAAATCAGTAATGTTACTTCAAATGGCAACAAACTGTTTGTTGACCCTGTGCAATTATACACTTTGTTCATACTACATTTATCAAAATATGACTGTTTTCTACAGATACGTAGGAATCTTGTGTGTGACTCCTGACAAAGTAATTTATAATTGGGACACAAAATTTACAGAGTGCCACAATAATTTTCAGATTATTTCTAGTAGAGTTAATTTCAAAACGTTCAGATCCTGCATTATTTTTCAACAGTTAATTCACACGGAGAATAATGGAAGATATTACTTATGAACATCAACAACTGCACCCATTACCCAGAACACGCTGCACTGGTTTGACACTTTTCCTTAGTACACAGAAAGAAACAGCACCTGATAAGCCTGAGAAGAAATGCTGCTGTGTAAATACTGGCAACTATTCCTGAAAAAAGAATTATGGGATGTATTCTCTGCCCGATCCCATAATCGGTATTGCATAGGTCACAATCACACATATATATACACGCACAAGTATGTGTGTGCCCATATACCTATGTATATACGCGCACACATGCGCACACGCACACACACCAAGAATATATTAAGAAGACAATGAAGTCTGGTCACAGAGCAATTTACAGGCTCAATATATTTTTGTCCTTTTTTTTTTTTTACACTTTGTTTGAAAGAAAACTTCAGTATTTTACAGTCTTCAGTAGGCATTATATACACTGCACTTATGAAATCTAGAAAGTATTGAAATAGAAATACATTTCTGCAAACATTTGAGTAAGAAAAAGACCAAAATTTTTCAAAGATTTGTGCTATCTACATAATATTTTCTCTAAGTCACAATAACTGTATCCATGGAATGTTCTCTAGAAAAGGTCTTTTTTTTTAAAAAACACCATGCACATTTTTAAGCAATTGTAACCCAAAATATCCCAACCTAAAACAATCTAATAATGTTCAGATTAAAAAATTTAAGTTTCAGATCAGATTTTAAAAAGATAAGTCTTTATCACAACAGCTGTAATGATAACAGTTACATGTTAAGGCTAAACTGGTCTTGTTTTGTTTTTAAGAACACATTTAAAGACACATTTCCCTCTTGGCTCTGCATTATGAACTGTACTTAGAGATGACAGTGCAGTGAACATAATGTTCAGTCCTACAGTCAGGATGCAGTTGCTCCTTCCCACTCCACAAGATACTGCACCTTTCCATCAAGTGTTACCCGACGAGCCAAAACACGGTATTTTTCCCCACAAGCTATTCTACCTGCTGCTCCAAAATAACTAGTAATTGAGTTCTTTAGATGATTGAGCTGTAACTCCTGATCTGCTAAGTTGTTAAGTATCTCTGTATTGAGTTCATCATACTGGTAATCATCCTTGCTCTCATCATCTTTTACAATTTCTGAATTTTGAGTTTGGAGTGCTTTTCGTGGAAAGCGACCTCTCCTCCTTAAATGTGGTATTGCAGCAGGCCAAGTTCTTCCTGTACGAGTCCTTTTTCTCGAGTCAGATAAACTATTAAAAAGGAAAAACCAGCATTACCCCCAAGAAATTCTCAAAATGTATGCTTTATCATCAGTTATTTCCACAGAACTCATAACTTTTTTTCCATTTTTCACTGATAAAAATATTTGTTGCCTATAGATGATTATAAATACAGCACTTGCAAAATAAAGACTGTTTACATAAGGAAAATAATAGTTTAACAAAATATCAGAAAGGTTAGCTAAATGATATTAACTTATTAACATATGTTAAGAGTATTATTTTGATACAGCTTAATTCCATTCTTAAGCAAATTTTAAAAACAGGTATATCCAAATCGGACAGTTTTATAACTGGTAATGAAAAAAAAAAATCTCCTGACATTATCCAAGAATAAACCACCATCCAAATACTAAAAGTATTCAAGACATAAATCCTTCTGTAAAAACCTACACCCATAATTTGCAAATCTTAAAACATGTTTGATGAAGTACTGAATTAAATGGTATGCAAACGTTGGTGTTTGAGACTCCTATGTAACATGCTGAAGAAAAAAAAGCATTTCTAACATCAAAAAAAAAGATCAGAATAAAGGGCAGACACACATAACAGTGACTTAAGTCTGTAGGTAACAATTTCAGAAGTCTCTAAGTTAAAGATGAATTTTTTGAAGATGTACTATCTGTAGCAGTAATGCACACAAAAAATGCTAATGAAAGCACTTGACAGCATAAACCAGAGAGAGGAGACAAATGAAGTACATTGAGGATCCATGTACCTCAATGAAAGAGTAATTTATGTTTGTTGAACTTGAGGCAAAAGTTCAAGTAACAATTTATTTCCAGTAGAGTTGATTGTCGTTAATTTCTTTATGAAGATTGTGCCAAAAATTTTTCACGCTCTATTGACTGTAGAAAATCACAGCATACTTTCTATTCTTTAACATGAACACACAAACCTACAAAAACAAAAGCTGCCTAAATTAATTCAGGGTACACATTAGCTACTTCGTGGCCTTTATTAGAAAACTAAGCTCAGGAAGTGTTTATGGAGTTTAATCCTTTTCAGTAACTAATTTAACTACATACTTTACATCAACAAAAAAACAACTGTGCATTATAAGCAGAACTAATAAAGACTAGTTTCCTTTTATCCTATTTCTTTATATTTCCCCATGCAATTTATAGCTCTACTCCAAGTCTCACTTGCTCATTAATCTCAGTGAATTAATACATCCTCAATATTATACTCCTTTGCAATATCCGCAGTTGTTCTCTATTTATACTCTCATCAGTTCTGCAATACCCTTACTTCCATTTCACATCTACTACAGCTGCCTCATAACTTAAGGTGACCTCCTACCTTATCTTCTACCTTTGTCATGCCAAAGCTTCAACTAAAAAAAAAAAAACACCAACAAAGCAGAACTGGCAATGACTAGGCTACAAATAGACAATAAAATTATCTGACTTTGCCTCCAAGTGTGGGTTGCTGGCTTGGGTCTCTCTCATCCAAGCATCTACCTTCATAGATCTTGTTAGACTATCATTTCTTTGGACCTGGATCAGATTTCATGGAAGTCAAAAGGTTCAGAATTGATGAAGTACAATAGAATCTCAGGTTTAAGAAATCAGACTTAGAACATTACATGTCATGCTTTGGCAAGGTATCTCCTGTAGGACCCTTGCAACTTCTGTTTATTAAGGATGAAGTATTGCCGAACTAATTGTTTCCTGTCTCCCCCTTTCAGAAAATCTTAATGAAATTAGGATATAGCACATCTTACTCTTCACAGCAGAGCAATTGAATAATTACCTATAATGTCTGGAAATGCTAGATGAGGTAGTTTCTTTCATACTGGCAGCACCTGTGGATTCCACATCTGAGGTATTGGATGAATGTGCAGTTCCATCAGATTTCCTGACATGCAAGATAACAAGGTTGTCATGTAAAGAAAATAACCTTATATTAAAAAAAGAGCTGATATTTCACAAGCAAAGAGATAAATGACATGATATTATAATGTTTTACATCGGTTTGTGGGGTGGGTTTGGTTTTTTGGGTTTTGTTTTCTAATTTACCCAACACTGCAGGGTAATTCCAAGGCTGGGTTCTCTATCACTGGAACTGGTTCATTATCCTAAGAGAGAAGAAAAAAAAAAAAAAAAAAGACACTTAAGTTATAATTGCTATATCAATTTTGTTTGAGGGTGAACAGGGGAATAACATGATTCAGATGAACAAGGTTTATTTTTTGTCAAAAATTATCTGGTTAGAAGGAAAAGGGAAAGGAAAAAAAAAAAATGTCCAAAACCTTACCAGAGGAGATGACTCTGGAGTTTTGTGAATCATTTTTCTTGTATAGGGACCAGGTGGACGACCTACTGATTTTTTTTTCCCCTTTCTGTCTATACCATTACTTAATTCCCTAGAAGAAAATTTATAATTTGTTCTGTATTATTGAAGGTAATTTTCATTGAATACACGTTTTCCTTGGCAATGAATACACTATTAGATGTCTATTCCTAAAACATGGTGCTAAATAAATGAGGTTATTCTGGTAAATCAAAATTGTCAGGTACAAAGATACATTTTTGCCTCTATAATAACAGACACGATATCTTTCTAGTGACGTTACTGATTCCTTAATGTTGAAGAGCAATGAACAAGTGTTAAATTTATTCATATAATCACTCTTGATAAAAAAAATAATGGCACACGTACTGATCCAAGTTACAATTTCACATCATACTTCCTATTCAGAATTCTAGTTAGATTACTGCATAAGAACTCCAGAAAGGGAAAAGACTGTTTCCCAAACAGCAGCAAAGCTGGGATGTTTTCTATTGTTCTTACTGCTAAATTTCAGGCTGGGCTTTTATCTGGGGGGTTTGTTCTGAAGACTCATAGAAAGCTAATTAAACTCTTTTGAAGTCCTTGTTCTCACAAATAGCCCACCTCTACAGTTATTTAAAAAATACACTCTACAAGGAAAAGGCCTTTTGCTGGCCAGAAAAATACACCCAAAGTAACACCCATTTACCACAACCTTGCTTGAATGGCTAGGTTATTTTACCTTGCATCAGGGATTGGTTTGGACGATGTTCTGCCTTTAATTTTGAACTCATGAGAAGTTCCTTCTGGTTCTTTCTCAGCCTTTAAAGCAGCATTTGGTGGAACAGGAGGAACACGAATTCTCAAGCCAAACAAATGCTTCTTTTTCTTTATTTCTTTTCCAGACATAAACCTAGGTGATTTTAAAGTAATTGTTAAAATTCTGATGCCAGGACAAGCAACTATGAAAAAACAGTATACATGCAAAAAAAAAAAAAAAAAA